GCTCTTGAAACAACTAATACATAAGCAATACCATAACGAACAAGCTTATTCTCCATGAGCCTAGTTCGAACGATCTCTCCCCTTTCGGTTCTAAGATCGATTAATTAGATTAAGATGGTGATCAATCATCTAAAACCCTAGGTTAAGCACAACTCGTAAAAATTGAGCAATTAATCATGCACATAAATGAAATCGAACCGGAACGATAATCCCCTAACCCTAGCTAACGAATTTAGCTACTCATAACGCATTCAACATCAACATTCACACCAACCCAAGCCATAATCATCAAGGATAAACGAAGAAAAGCTTATGATTGATATAAATCCAATGTCGAAAACAAGGAAGAAAACCAAATCCACAAGTTGAATCTTGGAAGATTTCACTCTCCAAGGTTGAATCCCATCAAGAACCAAGAGAAAAGGTGTTCTAGCAGTTAAAAGTCTAAAAAACGATGTTCAAAATTGAGTAAAAACTGCCCTAGCCCGATCTAATATCATCCCCCCATCCAAATTCTGAAAGAAACGAAACTGTTAAAAAAAACGCGCCTTAGCGGCGCTAAGGAGGGTTAGCGCCGCTAAGCCTCCTTAGATGCTCCCTTCTGTATCTGCTAAGCCTCTTAACGGCGCTATCCACTATGGCCTTAGCGGCGCTAAGGCACCTTAGCGACGCTAAGACCTGGAAGATCAAAATTGTGGCTTTTTCTTCGGCTCGCGTGCTCGTCTAGCGTCGCTCGGGTACTGCCCGAGCTGGAAACTCGATCCTCGCATGTTTGGGTCCATAAAATGATGCTCGAACAACACGCTTCTCCTCTCGTCTAAATGCTCATCAATCCGATCATCTAGAACCTAAAATCGCACCACCGGAAAAACACGAAAAACAACAAAAATAGGAAAGAAAACACAGAAAATACTAAACACACCAAAATAAAGATAAAAGCACACGAAACGACAATAGAGACCGGAAATACCTAAGAAAAGACCTAAAACGGGGGAAACGACATACAAAATACTGACGAAAATAACCACTCAAATGGGACAAACACCTCTCGACCCACCGAAAGAACTGAAGCGCGTGCTCTGAGTATTTAGAGTCGTGCAACACGTTGTAGACGAGCTTGTGGTCGAAGCTCAGAACGAGGTTTCAGATTGAGTTCTATAGT